CACACACACACACACACACACACACGGGGATGAATTATAAAACAAGACTCCACTTGAGTTATGTCACCTTTTTACTTTCAGCACTTCTCTTCCCTCCCACACAGTCTGTAATGGATGAATGGAGCCGTTACCAACTGGCTCTCTTGTAATCATCTCTGCTAATAATTATATGTGTTCTTTTATAACGGCCTCAGCCTCTCTTTCTTTCTTTCATTTTCTATCATGTGGGCGCTAATTACGTGGGTGGGGAAGTCTCAATGTAGGGTGGCTACATTGGGAGAACAGCTACATTGAAATGAAAGTAAAAAAGGTTTCAAAGACGTCTGATTCAACTGTAAAATAAACCTGTTTCCACTCCTATATGTCACTTGTGTGGTACTGCTGCAGTGTACGTGTCTGCAGCTTTCTCAAGAACCGCTCATGAAAACGACTTCACACTCGACACAGGACTTCCTCGTGTCATCAGCAACACACCTTCCGAGTCTGAAGTCAGTCGGATGAACAGCTGTTGAGAAAATGACTAACAAACGTTTCCCGTAGATCTCAGGTCTCTTGTTCTTCATGTGTTCTTCAACGTACTGCAGCGAGCGACGTGTTCAGGCTGTTCTGTAGCTACAAAAAGTGATGCACTATAATTCATATCTCACCAGCTAATCAGTCTGTAGGTAGCCCACGTTAAAGCGATAACAGGGAGGAGGTCGGGGTGGACCTAAAAACACAGCAGGAGTTTGTGTCGCATATGAAACCAAAAGCAACGCCGACTTATTGGTGATGTTAACTCTGTAGTTATTCTGACCCTGAAGCATGAATCTGCCTCCTTCTGCTTCCTACACAGGTTCTGCACTGCTGAGGTGGATCGCCTCATGTTGCTGGACATTTGTGGGAAAACGCACAAAAAAAATAGAGGACGAGGATACGCTGCTGTGGTTGGGCAACAAAAAGCTCCAAAAGTAATCCCTTCTTCTTCTCTCCCTCCACCTTACACAGTCCTTCCATCCTCGGTCACACTTTGCTGATACAGCCTTTATATAATTGAGTATTCTCTGTCACTTTCTTGCTTCATCCCTCTAAATCTCCCTCATCCCTCCGACACCTATCGTCAGTCCCTAAACGCCAGAGACAGCCTCCTCAGAGCAGTCGTCTCTGCTTTCATTTGGGCCTCAGAGGACAAAGCAACGTCGCCAGCAGCGGTGAAGACAACTATATAATATCAGTTAGCGTCTCATGCTAATCTGGCAGCTGCTCACTGAGGCTTTTCTATTGAGAGGCACTAGCATGCTGCTGTGCTCGCCATCAAGAAGTATCTAATCTGACACACACACACACACAAACACACACACACACACACACACACACACACACTCACACACACATCAATACTCTCTCTCTCGCACTGCAGAGGTGTCGGTGTGTGTGTGTTATCTCTTGCTGCTCACTGAGCGTGCCCACAAGCTGCGTTTTCATAGGTCAGTGCAGATGTGGGACTGCAGCTCATTTCTTCATGCTGCGAGCCAAGTGAGTTGTGTGTGTGTCTACACACATGGACACACACACATACACAAACACACACTTTGAAACTGATGTGGACAAATGAGCTCCTGTGCAGAAAACTCGCTCCAAAACAAGCCTTCAATCACTTTCCATTACGGAAGAAGAGAGAGAGACTTTGGATAAAAACATGTCTTCATACGGCTAACACACACACACACACACACACACACACACACACACACACACACACACACACACACACACACACGCATACACACACACACACACACACACACACACGCTCTAAAGCAGGACAGTATCCGTTTGGCACGTACGAAGACAAAAGAGATGCACAGACTCAAACGGAGGCAAGAACATCACACACCCAGTGCATGGTGGGAAATATCACAGGCAGAAGACAGCCTGTCATTCATCCATGCATCTGCAGACAGTTTGTGCGTCTCGTGGGTGTTGTTTTGATTAAGTTCCAGTCACAGAAATGAAGCCGTTAAATAAAATAAAAAGACGTCACATTTTGAGACCCGGAAGATCTTCTAACAGAACTCCCTGAATCTGTAAAGACATGTCGGTGATCTCCAAAGAATCTTCTGTCCCATCAGTACAACAATAAATAAACAAGGAGTGTCTCTACATTACACTTCAAACTAACAGGCACTGTTCAACTGTACTATATATATATATATATATATATATATACACACACTTTTAATTTAACTTGATCATTAAAACCTTTGAAATGTTCAGTCTGGAATCATTTCGTCCACGAGGACTAAACCTTTGTAACATCCACGTAAATGCGTTTGCAGCAGTAGATCAGATTATAAGGACTTGAGAACCGGAAAGTGGCAGGTTCAAGTCCCGCACTGGATCACGTTACAGAGAGGTGCCAGTTCACCACCTGGGTGCTGCAGAGGTGCCCTTGAGCAAGAAACTGAACCTCAGACTGTGATGCAGCCCCCTCACTTGGCATCTCTCCACAAGTCCTGAGAGTGTGGGTAGTAGAACAACAGGGTCACAGAGGGATTAATAACGTTCATTTCCTTTTATCTCTCTGTGCCAGACGTCAGTGAAGGAGACAAACAGTCAGTTTGTCACCAAATCAATTAAATCATCAGTCACTGAGTCGTCTCTTCATTGTCATTCACCGTCTGCATGATGCAAATTACACTTAATGCACAGCCAGGACAGACATGAACCGTCACTCTGCAGAGAGAGAAACAATCACGGCCGAAAAGAGGTTGTTGGACTCTCTGCTGTATATCAAAGACACAAAAGCCCATCACAACTAAAACGCATCTTTGGCACGAGTTCAAAGAGCAATGAGATGAAGAAAATGAAGAATAAATCAACCCTCATCCTTCAAAGAAATATGATAGTCAGTGAAAATGACCTCAACATGCAGCAAGAACTACTTCCATGCTTCCACTTTCTTCTTCTTCTTCTTCTTCTTCATGTTATTCCTTCAATACTTAGCAAGCTGAGCCAGAAGGGAAGGCTCTCCCTTTACCAGTCCATCCACGTTCAGACTCTAAGCTACTGTCCTGAGCTTTGGGTAGAGACCGAACGAACGAGATCGCAGATACAAGCGGCTGAAATGAGCTTCCATCGTAGGGTTGGCTGGGCTCAGCCTTAGAGACGGGGTGAGGAGCTCCGTCATGTTGAAAGGGGCCAGATGAGGTTGTTTATTGGGCGTATCCAGCTGGTAAGAGGCCTAGAGGTTGACCCAGATCAAACTGGAGGGATCATACATCTCGTCTAGGTCTTTGAACGCCTCGTGGTTCCACAGGAAGAGATGGTAGCTGGGGAGAGGGACGACTGGAATGCCCTTCGGCCCGGCCCCCGGGTGAGAGGGCGATAAGAGACGGATGGTCGTATTACCTGCGTACTCTCTGCCCTCGGGCGTGGACACACAGACATAAAGTGTGGAACACTCTCTCACAGAGGAGCCGGTGATGAACAACGCGATGTGGACTCAGTAATTAGAGGGCAGTGGAGTGTGGAGTGGTTAAACATAAATCTTTTTCTCTTTCGTTCACTTCGCTCTCCGTCCTAACAATCCTTCTCTCCACCGTCATTTCATTCTCATTGATTTTTTCTTTTCTCCATCTTGTCCCTTTTGGTTGTTGGCTGTGCTCTTAGTCAGACAACAATATGTTCTTTAAACAAGATCATGTTGTGACGTTTTATTTCATCTACTGGTCAGGAGTATTATACCAATCACACAGGCTGCACACTCTCCGTCAGCCCACACGCTGGGGAGGAACAACACAGTTCTACACCTTCACTACAGAGCGACAATGAACGTTTTCATGTTCAGTTCCGTTCATAAAACCATGATTATAAAGA